TGTTACATATATGCTGTTTAGGTTTGGTTCTTTTGGGGGATTGTTTTTTCAAAGCAGGGTGGCAAGCCGGACAATCCAAGTGACGTATTCATGGATTCCTTAGCGGACCCGAACAGTAGAAGAAGGAAACCCAAATCTGGGTCCGAGTATATCGCTCAAGATGTTTTTCCTAGAGGTTATGATTGCAAGGACCCTTTGAGGGCTCCTGACTGGTATGGAGCCAGTTAGAATCTACGGTGATTACTTCAGTAGCCCTTTCCGTTTAAGCCTAAACCTGGCATATTGATAACGGAATGCACCAGTCTACAATAATCGCTGGCAATTGTTGCGCTCTTTGCCAGTACTCCTGCTTAATTCCGTTTTTCTAGCAGCAGTGTCACAATTCACGCCGTCGCAGGTTGCCTGACCAGTTCGGGACCGTTCTGGAATCCACTTTCGAATCCATTCTAAATATGACTGGAACTCAGGACGCCAAATCGTTAGCAGTCGTCATTGCAATCATTAATTAGAATCATTACGCAATTCATATCAAATCATCCCGTGATGGGTGCCGTTGGACATTTCAGAAACCCAGCTTGGAGGATCATGGGGCTTGGCAAATAGGCTTATGGATAAGGTAGCTCTAGAAGCCTAAACCCAACCCTAGTTATAGTCTTAGTTACCCATAACCTAAACCCTAAACCCTAAACCCTAAACCCTAAACCCTAAACCCTAAACCCTAAACACTAAACCCTAAACCCTAAACCCTAAACCCATAACTCCAAGTAGGATACTTATGACCTTAGTTGGCCCTCTAAGTTCCCTAAACCCTCAAAGTACTCTTATAGATCCCTTAAAGGGACGCTCTCATGATTTTGCAAGAGAGCATGGCCATACGAATCAACGCCATTCCATCAGTTTAGGCTTTATAGGGCATAGGGTGCAGGGGTTTAGGGTTCAGGGGTTGGGCGTTTAGGGGTTATAGCTTTGGGAACCTGCGTGCATCCTTGCTCAAACATAGCTGCCCTTTGTCCAATGACTGGCTCCATGATTCCGCGGTTCCTACTGGCTCATGTAGCCTGTAGAGTAGCCTGACCCCACCGGTGTCCGTTGCTGACACTGTGCTTCCATGTTGGTGTGTACGAAAAATCGACTTGCAAACAGTATGCATCAGTTGGGCCGTGTGGACCTGATAATTTCAATTCAATGCGCCAAAAACTACAATACTGGCCTTTATGCTTAAAAGAAGATGTAGCGTCTCTGGCATCAAGGGTCGCGAGGAGGTGTGGTGAAGGGGTTTCGTGGCGTGAGCCCCAAGGCTCGGTGAAGTCCAACACGGCCGATCCCCGATGAGGTTTAAACCCAGGAGGGTTTAGGGTTTGGGGTTTAGGGTTTAGGGTTTAACCCCAGGAATTCGGGGTTTCGGGGGTTGTAGGGTTGTGGGATGTTAAGTTGACAGGAATTAGTAAGACCCATTTTTCAAGGTCCAGATGCTCAAGCACCCCAGCTTTAAGACTTTAAGAGACGGGAGCCTCCAGAGCATGTGAACCCAGACCGGTTCAAGGATTAAAAGATGACGCTGCGCCAAGAGTTTATCATCAAGATAGGATACCTGTTCGGGGTACTGTTTTCTTATGCCATATAATCATAGCAAGGGGTTTGGGAAGCCCCCGGCGGTGAGGTCCTTCCACTTCTCCCAATGGACGAGGACTGGGTCCTTTCCGACAATTTGATTTTTGGTTTAGGGTTTAAACCCTAAACCCTAAACCCTAAACCCTAAACCCTAAACCCTAAACCCTGAACCCTAAACCCTAAACCCTAAACCCTAAACCGGATATTGATTTTGAAAGGCTGGAAGGCTTAAAGGGGCTCAGGGTGTTAGCATTCGTTTGTTCGGTGCTCACGGTTTTCGGATTTCTTTGGGAAGACGACATCCCTCACCCGATAAGCAAGGGTTTAGGGTTTAGGGTTTAGGGTTTAGGGTTTAGGGTTTAGGGTTTAGGGTTTAGGGTGCTATGAGCTCCTGTGCTTGTGGACATGTTTGATAGTGCGCCGTTTCAACAGAATGCTTTTGTATTTGGTGCAAGTGCTGGTGCACGATAGCACAATGATCATACCTTATAGCACAGTCAAAAACCCTGCCAATTCCACTTAAATGGTTCCCACGTTGAACTGCAAATATAAGACCTCTGATTAGTACCTGCCTCCCAGAAGAAAGACTGCAATCGGAATTGCAGCACTGCGGCACTCAAAGCCATAGAGTTTGTCGGTAACTTTCGCCCGGGGCGCTCGCCTGTAACATTAATAATAGCAATAATCATAGTATAGTATAGTAGTAAGAACAATACTAAAAAATGATGCCATAATCAACATGAGCAGAGGAATCGATCCGCGAAAATTTCAGAGACCCATGTCACGGGGCTTAGGCCCTGAGGAGCCAGGAAGAGCCCTTGAAGCCGAGGGCTTTCAGACCGCCACCTCCGTCGTGCCCACCGCATCCCACCGCCACCTCGCCCTAAACCCTAAACCCTAAACCCTAAACCCTAAACCTTAAACCCTCCGTACTTGCCCACAGTGCACAGTCTGAGGCATTGGCCCGTCTCCAGGGACCCCAGGCAGCGTGCAGTCGACCACTTGACGAGGTCTTGGGGCTGGCCTTGTTCAACGACAGCTGGCTCTTCGTTCTATAGGTTTCAATAGGGTTTAGGGTTATGGTTTTAGGGTTTAGTTTTTTAGGGTTTAGGGTTTACGGTTTAGGGCTTTAGGGTTTTAGGGTTTAGGGTTGGGGGTTTAGGGTTGATGTACCTACAAGTATAATCTTCCACAAACCCTTGTTGTAACTATCCAGCCCCCTGTACCAAGCCTTCTAAACCACAAACCCCTAAACCCCGAGCCAAAAACCCTAAGCCTTACTATTCAGCCCCATACAGCCAGCATCAAACTATCAACTCCAAGCCCCTAAACCTCAAGCTCTAAACCCTCAACCCCAAATCTCTAAACCGCTGAACTCCCGACCTTAAACCCTATGCTGCCCTATAGGATCCCTTTCAAAGAACCCCAAACCCTAAACCCTAAAGTCTAAACCTAAACTCTAAACCCTAACCCCTATAGATCCCTTTTCAAAGAACCCCTAAACTCCAAAGCCTCAATAACCCTAAACTCTAAACGCTATAGATCCCTTTTCGAAGAACCCCTAAACCAAAGCCCCGTCTTTGGGACCCCAAAACCTAAACCCTAAACCCGAAACCCTAAACCCGAAACTCGAAACCCTAAACCCGAAACCCTAAACCCTAAACCCTAAACCCTAAACCCTAAACCCTAAACCCTAAACCACAAGCCCCGTCGCTCCCAGGAGGGCAAAGCTCGGGCGGAGCAGGTCCTCGAGAACATGACCTTCGGCAGCGGCTCCTTGGCCTTGTCGGTTTAGGGTCTAGGATTTTGGGGGCTTTAAGGTTTAGGGTTTAGGGTTTTAGGGTTTAGGGTTTAGGGTTTAGGGTTTAGGGTTTAGGGTTTTAGGATTTAGGGTTTAGGGTCTAGGACTTTTGGGGCTTTAGCGTTTAGGGTTAAGGGTTTTAGGGTTTAGGGTTAAGGGTTTTAGGGTTTAGGGTTTAGGGTTAAAGATGACCTTCGGTAGCAGCTCCTTGGCCTTGTCGGTTTGGGGTTTGTGGGGCTTTGGGGTTAAGGGCTTCAGGGTTTTTGGCGCTTAGGGTTTTAGGGCTTTAGGGTTTAGGGTTTAAGGTTTAAAGATGGCCTTCGGTAGCGGCTCATTGGCCCGGCCCCGTCGGGCTTACGATGGTTTAGGGCTTTTTGGGTCTTTAGGGTTTAGGTTTTTTTGGCATTAGGGTTTAGAGTTTTTGGGTCTTTAGGGTTTAGGGTTCTAGGGTTTAGGGCTGAAAAGAATTTGTGAAACAGACGCAAACGAATGCAATTTGCCTCTTGGGGACTTAGGGGTCGACGGGGTTTTGGAGTCTCTTGGGACTTGAGCGCTTTTAGATAGAAGCCTAATTAGTTAGCAATATTGCAGTTAAGGTTCCTTATTACAAGCATACTAGACAAAAGCACTGTTGGTCCGAAGTTACTGTTTGGGATGCTAATTAACGTACTCGTAACATTCAAAGTCTTTCGACGCCTTGAGGCTCGCACTTTGTAGCTGCCTGCCATGATGGTCATGAGTCATAAGCAATAATATGAGCAGTAGCATTGCATCAGCTTTCGTAACATTGGTGGTGTGGTAGCAAGGGATCAGCTTGAGCAACAGTGCTGGGATGCGGTGTTAGAAGCAAATAGCAGTCGGTGGCGCCAGTGGTGCTGGTGGTGGTGCAGTTGCGATGGATGCGAGTGCCCCCGGTCTCTTGCTGCAGCTTGACCTTAGCGACTTTGAGGCCTTGAACCGACCACCGTTGGTCCGTGGATTCATTCGGCTGCCGGCACAGCAAGTCCTACTGTGGCTGTGGCGGCTGCAGAAGGGTCACTACTGCGGAGTGGAGGTTCGTGATGCATATGGAGCTGAGACTTTGCTGAGCCTTCGATTTAGCAGACCGGTGTCTGCAAGCACTGCTTCAGGCAGCTTGCATAGAGACCGTAAAGCCCTAAGCCGCAAAACCCTAGACCCCAAACCCCCTGGACACCAAGCTGTCGCACCCAAAAGGTCTATATATATATATATATATGTATGTATACATGTGGATATATATATATATATAAGTACACACTACCATTATGGATTTGGGCCCCAAAAGACCATCCTTAATATGTTTTTATGGACCTGATTCTACAAAGGAGCCCTTATAGGAACCCTTAAACGAACCCTTATAGTAACCCTGACTGAGGAACCCTTATTGTAACCCTTAAATGAACCCTTTTAGTACCCTGTTTGGGGACCTAATGTACGGAGCCCTACCGCAAACTCTAAACCATTCAACCTTCCCTGAATGAACCCTAAACCCTCAACCCTAAACCATTAAATCCTAATCACTGAACCCTAAACCCTAAACCCTGAACCCCAAAACCCTGAACCCTAGGCACTGCGCTGTGGCAGGGTCTCAACGCAAGCCCGAGCCTCGAAGCTTGCTTTGGGGTTTAGGGTTTTGCGTTTTAGGGTTTGGGGTTTTAGGGTTTTAAGGTTTAGGGTTCAGGGGTTTAGGGTTGAGGGTTTAGGGCTTTGGGGTTTTAGGGTTTAAAGGTTTAGGGTTTTAGGGTTTTAGGGCTTTGGTTTTTTAGGGTTTAGGGGTTTAGGGTTTAGGGTTTAGAGGTTTAGGGTTTAGGGGTTTAGGGGTTAGGGGTTTAGGGTGTTAGGGCTTCAGGGTTTTAGGTTTTTGACCCTAAACCCTATATTGCATGCTAGGCCCCATGATCCTCCAAGTAGGGTTGCTTTTTATGGCTTTTGTGGAAGAGTATTACGTAGGGTTCTGTAAGGGCGTTTTATAACTTTGTGGAGGGTTGTAAGAAAGTTGCATGAGCGTTCCTTAGTTGTTAGTTCAAAAGTGTTTCCCTAAACCCTATCGGGGCTCGTTTGTTTTAAAGGCTTCTTTCAGGTTCTTTATGGTTCTTGTTGGTTCTTTAGGGTTTCAAGTTTTAGGTTGCCGTTGAGGTTTTAGGGCCCCCGAAACCCTAAATTCCCACCCAACCTACCCGCGCTGGGGCTTAAGGGGCTTGCGGGCTTTCACGTTTACAAGCTTGGGGCAATAAGGGTCAAAGCGCCTGTTTTTTTGTGTTTGCTGTTCTTGTGTCTATCTATCCATCTATCTATCCATCGGTGCATACATTCTTGAACCCTGGCCCTAAATGGCCCTAAACCCTTGTCATGGCTACATTCCCAAGCTTATGTACCCACCGCCAACACCGCAAACCTCTCCTCCCATTACTTAAACCTTTCGCCCTGAACTCTGAACCCTAAGCCCTAAACCCCTAAACCCCTAAGCCCCTAAGCCCCTAAACCCCTAAACCCCTAAACGCCTAAAAGCCTTAAACCCTAAACCCTAAACCCTAAACCCTAAACCCTAAACCCTAAACCCTAAACCCTTAAACCCTGAATCCCTGGACCCTAAGCGTTGCCAGGCGTTTGCTCGAGGTTGCGCCGCACGAC